CACTGCTCCCGCCCCCCCCAGCCAGCCCTGCTTCTGCCAGCCGATTTCCCCCAACCAGCCCTGCTTCCGCCGACCAGTTCCCCTCCCTATCTACCCCGGTCAGCTCCACTGCCCCGACCCTGCTTCCCTGCAGCCCATATCCAACCCTCCTTCTCCCCTCCACAGTCAGCAATAGGAGCTCATCTGGTAACCCTCACTATGCCTCTGCCGGGAGCCTGAAACATATGGCTGCATCCACCCAGCCCAGCTGAGGGCTTGGGGAACCCGGCGCTGCACGGGCAGTCCAGGAGCCCGGAACACCCTGGCAGCCATGCTGAGGCCTGGTATTTTTTTCCCGCGGCCCGGTAGCGGGCTGTGACCCATAGTTTGCGAAACACTGACCTATCTCATTTCTTACACTGTGCCCATCGCCATACTTTCTATGGCCTTTTGGCATAACACTTCACTATTTTGTTCTAGCACGTTTTCCCTATGGGAACATTGCTTGCGAAAGGACAATTCTTTGACAGAAGTACTAGTTAACGTGATAGGTATGGACTCCACTGATATATTTTATGGAAAGCTCTATGCCTGCACCAAACATCTTATGTGCACAATTGATAAAACAATTGAGAAAGACTAAACTTTTTGTGATAGTCATTATGCAAAGCACAATTCAAGTTGAAAGTAATTTATTGTGACTAGTTTATGCTTTGGCCAGCCCCGCTGAAATGCTCTCATCCATATCAGATTTTAGGTATTGTAAATTGGTTTCCTTGTACACGATGCAGCACTATTTTGTACTGGTTGACTGCTCACATCTGGATTCCCTTTGGACCTTAGAACAGGAGGAGCTATGGACCTGATGCAAACTATATGTAAGGTCCAAAAAGAGGCAAATCTGGGTGTGAGCTTGGACAAGCATGGAAGCTGCTGAAGTAAGCAACTGGCATCTGGATTCTGGGGGGCCAAGAGAATTCTGTAGAGTTTAGCTGTATGAGTTATTGAGGGTAAACTGCTTGTTGGTTGCTGCTGCTACGTGTGACTATTACCCAGGTACTGGTCCTGCTACTTGGAAGATGAACGTTTGCACATAGCAACATGGAGATAATGACCTGTATTCTGAGGGCCTAATCTAAAACCTGTTGAAGTCAATAAGTGTTTCCATTAATTCCAGTGGATATTGATGTAGATCTTAATCACCAAGAAAATCTTTCAGAAAATTTGTTTCCCCTCAGGGATACTTCATTTCACTGAAGAAGAGCTGAGGGAAGTTCATTTGGCTTGGCTACTATGTATGAGAGATTTCTTGTAGCACTGGAATATGTAATCTTCCAGTTAATCCAGTTATTAAAAAAGTCAGTTATTCTTTGAGCTTTAATAATTACTATTCGCGGAAGTTTTTGGTTACAAATGCCTTCTATCCACATTTTAGGTCCAACTGTTCCATAAATCTTTGTTAAAACAACAAGAAGAACACACCAGGATAGCCTTGCTGGAACAACAGGTACCAAATTGTACTCTAAAGTTGTAGTAGATTTAATTAGGCATATTAATCCATGTGACTCTTAAAATACTTAAATTTTATTATGTACATATGGTTTTTTAAAATATGACATCCTCAAAGTACAGGTTAAGAACTGGTAGCTGATGCTTTCCCTATTATTGCTGTAGTCTGTAGGACAACATTTTGGGTGGTAAGTTCAGTCTAACTGCAGGCTTACTAATTACACACAGGCTTTGAATAAAATCACTTTTGCTTTAAAGCTGTTCTGAAATCATATGGACACTTCCTTGCAATCTTAAACCTATGCTGTTGCATAAATAAACTCTATTTCTATAAACAACTTCTCCCTTCAACCTCTTCAAAGAAATAAGTTCTTGTTCTGACTGTTTACATCACTGAAATATTTAGAGTAAATCTGTAACAAAGAAAGGTAATACAGTACCTCAGGCAGACTTATATAATAAATAGTCAAATATAAATGTCAGTTAAAATGAAAATGTAATAGTCTATCTTTAAAACCTCGACTCATTTCAATGCTCTCTAAAAATAAACAAAGTCTGTTCTTTTTGCAACAAAACAATTACAATAGAGTCCCGATTATCTGCCCTAAACAGGACTGACAGGTGGTTGGATTACTGAAAATGTTGGATAATAGGGACTCTACTGTAGCTGGTGCTGCTTGGTCCCCATCCCTGCCTGGCCCTGGCCCTGGCCCTTTCCCTCCCTGCAGCTCCCGGACGTGGGCCAGGAGAATGGCCTCGCTCACTGTCCCGTCGCTCTCCTGGTGCCACTAATGCCGCTACTGCCGGCGTCGCTTCGTCCCCGTCCCTGCCTGGCCCCAGCCCGTTCCCTCCCTGCAGCTCCCGGGGACGAAGCGGCGCCAGGAGAGTGACGAGGCAGCAAGTGGGGCCATTCTCCCGGCCCGCGCCCAGGGGCTGCCGGGAGGGAAGGGGCCAGGGGCCGGCGCGGCGCTGGCAGGAGGCTTCAACCCGCAGGAGACTGCTGGAGCCTGTTCAGCCAGGGAGGCTGCATGTGGCATAGCGCAGGGCAGCTATGTCGGATAAAGCGGAATGTTGGATTACTGAAGGTCGGATAATCCGGACTCTACTGTATATCAATAATTCTTCGTTGTATTTCCCTGGATTCTTCTTGCTGTCTAAACTTCCCTCCAACTTACTGTTTTAAATTCAGGGATGTGTATGTGTATGTATGTTTGAGAGAGAGAGAGAGAGAGAGATTAATATATGCATCCACATACTGGTTAGAAAATGGTCTTTGTGGTATTAGAACCTAAGTTTAACAGATTGGTAATGTCAAGTTTGCAGTATGGATGTCTTTCAACATCATCTTGTTTCACTTTGATAAAAATGTTGAGGTGGCAGTAGTTTCTATTTTCTAACCAAAGGTTGTGCCATATGGTCTTCTGTAGTATATTTATAGTCAAACATTTAAGACTTTAACATCTCTTCCAATAGACACATTGATTTATAACACTGTGTAAAGAGAAACTGCAGCATTTTTATTGTCAGAACTTTGTGCACCAACTCAAACATTAGACCTAAAATATAGATGAAATGTATTCAACTTCTAACATCTCTTCCAATAGACACATTGATTTATAACACTGTGTAAAGAGAAACTGCAGCATTTTTATTGTCAGAACTTTGTGCACCAACTCAAACATTAGACCTAAAATATAGATGAAATGGCCTATTGGAGTCTCTGCTTCTACCACTGAATTTGGTGCAAACAGTCTTGTTCCCCAGGTTTTACATTAGGGGTGGGCAATCATTTTGAAAAGGGAGCTACTTCACAACTTTCTAAGGGCTTGGGTGAAAGGAGCGGCACCATGCGACTTCTCTTGCTCCCCTGATTGGCCTGGGGGTGAGAGAGTGTGTGAAGTCTTTGCTCTCCAGCACCTAGAGAGAATTGCCAGCTGTTTTTAACAGAGTCTGAGAGCATGCAAAGTCTCTCGCCCCCTGCCCTGCCAGAGGTGTGCAGTGGCTAGAGAAAACTGCCAGCTGTTTTAAAACAGATGTCAGTTCCCTCTGGTGCTGGTGCCCCTCGCTGGGGAGAGGACTTCACACGCTTCCCCCGTTGCCAGGTCTCAATTGACCTAGGATGGGGGAGTGGCAAGGCAACCACAGGCCGGATCCACGAGGAGCGTAGCGCAAATCCAGCCCATAGAGGCTGTCTGCCCACCCATGTTTTAGATGACAGTAGTGGATAGGAGGCAATTAATGTATTTAGAAATGATAAAGACTTATTTTACATAATTGTATTATGTCCTGATAGAAAACTGTTTCATTCCCAAAGAGAAACACTCACTTTCAGCTATTTACTATCTAATGACCACACAAGAAATAGTTATTGGGGACAGAGTAAACATGGCTGCTTGAGAATGTTATGCCTGAGGGAGTAATCAGTATTACTAAGAGGAGGACTGGTATTTGTGGAACACAGGAAACTAGAATCAAAGGTCAAGATACCTGTTCTGGACACAGCTTTCATTTTGGGGGAACCTTTGACTAATATTGTTATCTTAGTACTCAGCTCCTTTCTAATATCATTTTGCATATTGACATTGTTTACTAGTGATTGGATTAAATTCTGTCCAGGATGCTTTTCTTTAGCTAATGACCTATTCTTCTATTTTCTACACTTATATATTGTTTTGATTTTTTTTTTTTTTACATCTGTATATTTCCAGTGGCCTTGTATCAAATCTCTCTGTTACAGGGTAGTATCTTATTAAACTCCTTAGTCTTGTGTCTCCTTAAAATTCTATATATGGAAAGCATGTTTACAATATGCAAGTGCAGATATCATGAATATTAATAGGAGTTATGCTTGCACCATTGGCTTTATGCATTGCACAACACTATCCCTAAAAAGTGGGGTATCTTTCCCATCCATATTGCCATGCTGTCATACAACAATCCTGATTACTAGTGCCACAAGGTTACCAATGCCATTTTCAGCCTCTTTAGAGTACTGTATTGTAGCTTAAAATTAAATAGATCAATGTACAACCACAGTCAAAAATTGAAAACTTATCTCCAATAGGAATTTGTATTCTGTAGTTCTAGCTCTGTAACTTTTTTTTTTCTCATTGGATTTACCAGATCCAAATGTGCACTACAGATTTTGAGAATGAAAAGCTTGATCGCCAGAAATTGCAGCATCAGTTGAATAAAGTTCTTAAAGAACTGCGCAAGGCAAGGGAGCAAATAACACGACTGGAGCCATTGGTGAGTGCTGAATGCATTACGGCTGAATTCAAGAAGTCTGCCTTCAGCAGGGGTTTTACTTCTATACATATGCCTGGAACTCCTGTAAGTGATGGACCTGCTTGCACTCATCAGTGAGAGAAAAAACTCCAAAGCCTGTAAATTACTCAGTAGAAAAACTGAGGAGTCAGAGTAAAATAGTAAACCCCAGCCTATGTGATTCTCCTGAAGTGCTCCTTGTCCTCATTATATGTCCTAAATTTGAATTTTTTTGAAGCTGATTATTGGTCATGGTTTTGTACATTCTTTATTAGGTTAATTGCATATACCCAGTCTTCCTTAGCTGGCTGCTGTTCCCTCTAATTCAGTTACTACAGTGGAAATAGCAGTATGTGTTATAACAATGAGGAGTCCTGTGGCACCTTAAACACTAACAAATTTATTAGGGCATAAGCTTTCATGGACTGCAGCTCACTTCCTCAGATGCATGCAGCGAAAGCTTCAGTTTGCCAGGGATTTATGCAGGCAGTCCCCGGGTTACGTACAAGATAGGGACTATAAGTTTGTTCTTAAGGTGAATTTGTATGTAAGTCGGAACTGGCTCCAGATTCAGCCGCTGCTGAAACTGATCAGCGGCTGACTACAGGAAGCCCTAGGCAGAGCTCTGCTTCTACCACTGAATTTGGTGCAAACAGTCTTGTTCCCCAGGTTTTACATTAGGGGTGGGCAATCATTTTGAAAAGGGAGCTACTTCACAACTTTCTAAGGGCAAGGCCTTGGGTGAAAGGAGCGGCACCATGCGACTTCTCTTGCTCCCCTGATTGGCCTGGGGGTGAGAGAGTGTGTGAAGTCTTTGCTCTCCAGCACCTAGAGAGAATTGCCAGCTGTTTTTAACAGAGTCTGAGAGCATGCAAAGTCTCTCGCCCCCTGCCCTGCCAGAGGTGTGCAGTGGCTAGAGAAAACTGCCAGCTGTTTTAAAACAGATGTCAGTTCCCTCTGGTGCTGGTGCCTCTCGCTGGGGAGAGGACTTCACACGCTTCCCCCGTTGCCAGGTCTCAATTGACCTAGGATGGGGGAGTGGCAAGGCAACCACAGGCCGGATCCACGAGCGTAGCGAGCCAAATCCAGCCCATAGAGGCTGTCTGCCCACCCATGTTTTAGATGACAGTAATGGATAGGAGGCAATTAATGTTTTTAGAAATGATAAAGACTTATTTTACATAATTGTATTATGTCCTGATAGAAAACTGTTTCATTCCCAAAGAGAAACACTCACTTTCAGCTATTTACTATCTAATGACCACACAAGAAATAGTTATTGGGGACAGAGTAAACATGGCTGCTTGAGAATGTTATGCCTGAGGGAGTAATCAGTATTACTAAGAGGAGGACTGGTATTTGTGGAACACAGGAAACTAGAATCAAAGGTCAAGATACCTGTTCTGGACACAGCTTTCATTTTGGGGGAACCTTTGACTAATATTGTTATCTTAGTACTCAGCTCCTTTCTAATATCATTTTGCATATTGACATTGTTTACTAGTGATTGGATTAAATTCTGTCCAGGATGCTTTTCTTTAGCTAATGACCTATTCTTCTATTTTCTACACTTATATATTGTTTTGATTTTTTTTTTTTTTACATCTGTATATTTCCAGTGGCCTTGTATCAAATCTCTCTGTTACAGGGTAGTATCTTATTAAACTCCTTAGTCTTGTGTCTCCTTAAAATTCTATATATGGAAAGCATGTTTACAATATGCAAGTGCAGATATCATGAATATTAATAGGAGTTATGCTTGCACCATTGGCTTTATGCATTGCACAACACTATCCCTAAAAAGTGGGGTATCTTTCCCATCCATATTGCCATGCTGTCATACAACAATCCTGATTACTAGTGCCACAAGGTTACCAATGCCATTTTCAGCCTCTTTAGAGTACTGTATTGTAGCTTAAAATTAAATAGATCAATGTACAACCACAGTCAAAAATTGAAAATGGGGTAAATTCCTTTTTGTAATGAGAGAGCCAGTCCCTGTTCTTACCCATTCTGACGGTGTCAAGTTTGCATATGAATTCCAGCTCAGCTGTTTCATGCTGCAGTCTATTTTTGAAGTTTCTTTGCTCAAGCATGGCAACTTTTAATTCTGTTACTTTGTGTAGGGATGTAAATGAATAGTCAACTAGAGTATCAACTACTTTCTTCTACTAGTGCCACAAGGTTACCAATGCCATTTTCAGCCTCTTTAGAGTACTGTATTGTAGCTTAAAATTAAATAGATCAATGTACAACCACAGTCAAAAATTGAAACTTATCTCCAATAGGAATTTGTATTCTATAGTTCTAGCTCTGTAACTTCTTTTTTTTTCTCATTGGATTTACCAGATCCAAATGTGCACTACAGATTTTGAGAATGAAAAGCTTGATCGCCAGAAATTGCAGCATCAGTTGAATAAAGTTCTTAAAGAACTGCGCAAGGCAAGGGAGCAAATAACACGACTGGAGCCATTGGTGAGTGCTGAATGCATTACGGCTGAATTCAAGAAGTCTGCCTTCAGCAGGGGTTTTACTTCTATACATATGCCTGGAACTCCTGTAAGTGATGGACCTGCTTGCACTCATCAGTGAGAGAAAAAACTCCAAAGCCTGTAAATTACTCAGTAGAAAAACTGAGGAGTCAGAGTAAAATAGTAAACCCCAGCCTATGTGATTCTCCTGAAGTGCTCCTTGTCCTCATTATATGTCCTAAATTTGAATTTTTTTGAAGCTGATTATTGGTCATGGTTTTGTACATTCTTTATTAGGTTAATTGCATATACCCAGTCTTCCTTAGCTGGCTGCTGTTCCCTCTAATTCAGTTACTACAGTGGAAATAGCAGTATGTGTTATAACAATGAGGAGTCCTGTGGCACCTTAAACACTAACAAATTTATTAGGGCATAAGCTTTCATGGACTGCAGCTCACTTCCTCAGATGCATGCAGCGAAAGCTTCAGTTTGCCAGGGATTTATGCAGGCAGTCCCCGGGTTACGTACAAGATAGGGACTATAAGTTTGTTCTTAAGGTGAATTTGTATGTAAGTCGGAACTGGCTCCAGATTCAGCCGCTGCTGAAACTGATCAGCGGCTGACTACAGGAAGCCCTAGGCAGAGTTGCTCTGCCCCCGGCTTCCTGGAATCAGCC